ATGGGTCTTGCCCACTTCTCCCGAGGTGCCCTCCTCCCTGGGCACAAGCCCAACCTCCAGGAGGGCATGCTGGCAACCAAGCCAGGCTTCTGCCCAGCAACTTCACCTGCACAGTCAGCCTGTCATTCACTGCATCCCCTACCTCACCCAGTCCCTGATGGGAACAAATGCTCCCCACCCCAGCCTCTCAGTGACTCCTGTCCCCTGCCCCAAGTAGCCCCTGGCACAGATTATAACACAAATACCAACTAGAGGCAGATATTGTTCTGAATGTTATACACAAATTATTTGGTTGATCCTTAAAACAAACCTATGAGGCAGATCGTGTCATCACCCCCACTGTATAGACAGGGAAACCAAGGCACAGAGTGGTAATTGAGTTGCTTTAGACATGCAGCTACTAATGCAGTAAGTGATGTAACCAAGGCGCAAACCTCATAAGAACATTACATTAAATAATGAACACAGTGCCTGAGGCATGGAGAAGATTGCTAATGCCAAGATGATGGTAATGATGACATAGTCTCATGGCACATTGAACCGAAGAGCCTGCTTGTCTCCCTCCTGCTGAGTCTGCACCCTGAGTGACGGAGGAAAAACAGGGTACCCTGGGGTCTGCAGCAGCCCTTCGTCTGCTGGGGGACATGGACAGGGATTTTCTTTTTCACTGAGATAACATTCACATAACATAAAATTAACCATTTAAAGTGTATAATTCTATGATATGTCAAGAAATTTGTAATGTTTTGAACAACCCACAATAAAAAATTTAAAAAAATAATAATAAAAAAAATAATAAAGTGTATAATTCAGTAGTTATTAGTGCATCTGTGTGACCATCCCTCTATCTAGTTCCAAAACATTTTCATCATCACAAAATAAACCTGGGACCCATTAAGCAGTTGCTCTCCATTCCTGGCTCCCCCTAGCTTCTGGCAGCCATCAATCTGCTTTGGGTCTCTAGATGTACCTATTTAGGGTATTTTACATAGAGAGAATCATACTGTATGTGATCTAACTGTATTTAACTTCTTCCCTGAGCATAAAGTTTTCTAGGTTCATTTATGTCGTAGCATGCATCAATATGTCATATCCTTTATGACTGAATAATATTCTATGGTAATGGATATATACCACATCTGAACTGAATGGGGATTTTAAAGGACAAACTCCAATTTTTGTCCCAATGGTAGTGCTGCTGTCACAAAGGTGGAAACCTAAGAGATCTCCTCCTGCTGTGGTCAAGAGAAATCTGAAGAAGAAACCCACTGCAGGAGAATTCCCTGGCTATAATCAGAGGCCCAAAACTCAAGTGTCCACATAGATGAGTGAAAAGGGTGGGGACACAGGGCGGGTCCCCGGGGAAGATCACGGCAACCTGCAGTGTCTAAAAACATTCAGATTCAAAAATGTTTAAAATCATCACTGTGCTGACCAAACAGAACCTTCAGGCTGGCCACTCTCAGTCACCATTGTACTTGTAATCCCCTGGGGATCCTAAAAGATGATGGCACCAGGTCCAGCTTTGGCATTTGAAACAAAGGCTTTGACAAACTAAATTTCAAGGTTCAGCAAAGATGTAGTAGGTTCCCCACCATTGAATCAAGCCCTGATGTCACAGGCGTGGGGTACGCTATGACCAGTCAGATGCACCCCTTTGGCCCTTTTTGGGTGAAGAGTGGCCCAACAGCCAGGTGAGGGGCCCTTCAGGAGACGGAGGTCTCTGTCTCTGAGTCAGCTGACAGAGAAATAGCCAGCACATCACTTCTGTGACCTTCCAGTTGGTTTCACCTGCAGAGCCTGGAGTTATGAATGACAGTCTCAGAGGAAAAAACAGCACATATTGTGGAACCCGGAGTCCAACAAGCAAACAATGTTGCATTCTTACAGGATGTTGGAATTCTACCTTGTATAATTTGTTTCTTTATCCCAAAGAAACCAATCTGGAATGTGGTCTGGTATTGAGCCCTCTGGTTTTTGTATTTAGAGTCATCAGATCATTTGGGGAACTGTTGAAGTACTGATTCCCAGGCTCCTCCTCCAGGAAGTTGGTGTCAGTGGCGCCTAGGGCCTGGGAATCTGCATTTTTTCCACGTTATAAGACAGGTAGTTCATAATGCATACCTTAAAACTCAACCTGGAATCATACCTGTCAAATCAGAGTCTAAATTGTTCTACTTGTTCAAATCTTTGGGCTCAGCTTTAAGAATCCATATGGCCTAGGATAGAATCTTCTATTTCTTTTGTTTGTTCATTCATTCAATGGGTATTTATTGAGAATTTTCCATCTTTGCAGTTAAGATGGAAGTAAATACCTCTTGTAGAATTTGCGTTCTCATTGTGATTATTGGATAGAAGCAAATAATTATTTTCTTTATACAGAGAAGACTGTTAAGGTGGAAACAGAATTTTCGAGGATTGGGATGGTTGGTCAGAAGCTCTCAGCGTAACTGCTAAGCGATGAGTCTCCTCCACAATATCGCTGCCGAGTACTTAAACACTTCTAGGCCCAGGAAGCTCACTGTCAGATAAAAGAGACTGTTCAATTCTCAGATGTTAATTTCCCTTCCCTGGAACTTCTGCTCCTTAGTTCTTGTTCTACTTTATAAGATTTGCAAAGCAAATGAAAGCCTCTTCCCACAGAGAGCCATTAAAATATTCAAAGACACACTTTGCCATTCTGTTCAGTCTTCTCAGGGTGAAGACCCTGCTTTAGGACCTAATTTTGGGTGTCCTCCCTAATCTGTCCACCCATCCTCCTTTGGGTGACTCCTCACCTTGTATCTTTTTAAAAATACAAAGGTAGGACACGTCAGTCATCCATATGTTTCTTTTTTAAACATGCACCGACTAGGCACAGAAAGAAGTGAATAACCACCTTCTTCCCTCTGGATGTTGTTATCTTTGTTACTGCCAAGAGGTTGAGTTATTGGCCAAGGGCATAGACTCAGCAGATGATAATTTCATAGTCATCTTCATGGGGGAAAAAAACATTTTTTTCCTTCAGATATCTCAGTTTATAGCTAGCTACTAACAAATTATTTATTGACCCTCTTTTATTTACATGAAACACAGCCAACTCCTAAACTTATCTTTTCACTTCTAATTATATTTCCTCTCTTTCTAGCCTTCTCCCACATCATTTATTATATAAACACGCTTTCCCATATGCAGAGTGGTAATGGCCACTTGTGGCTGTTTTATTTCGGATCAAACATGTCAATGTCATAGAGCCAACAAGCAATAGAGACCACCTAGCCTGAGCTCCCCCACCCACTGGACACATCATTTCCTGCATGAGGACTTCTGCCCCCTTCACCCTTCCCATGCGTCTTTCACCTATTCCATTGATCCCTTCAGACCTTTGTGTCCACCTAGTCCATTTCCCACAGTGACCTATAACATGTGTTTCCTGCCAGAGCCACAGTTGTAAACAACTCCTGATAGACCCAGGAGCAACTCAGAGAGGAACCAGAAATGCTCTCTCCAGTAACTCCCAAGATCCCAGCCAACAGCTTGTTAGTGGACACACCCTGTGATTGCTGGCTCCAGCCCCTGAACCAGAGTCCCTCTACTGGGCTCTGAGAGCACTGCATTCACTGTAGAAGGATTGAACTACTGAGCAATTAAGAGCCCCAAAGAGTAGCAGCACACAAGAACGGAAAATTCCTTCTGCGCAAAAGACAAAACTGGTCCTAGAAGATGAAAATAAGCTCCAAGTTCTTCTAAGTCCCACCTCATTGTTATTCATATGAAGAAACTAGGACCTAGAGAAAGGATGTGTTAGTGGATGAGCAGAGATAGGAACCCAGGGCTCCATGCTTACAGCCCATCCTCTCTGTTTTTTGGGGGGGATCTGATTTTATGATCTTACAGCACCCTCCTCTCCCTGGCCAGTATTCTGGTCCCAGGGGCTCCAGGCAACAAACCATAATGGAAAGAATATCCTAGAAACAAAGTCAGACAAACACATGCCATCTGGGTGCTCAGGAATCCAGCCATTTGCTGGTTCCTTTCCTTTTAGGGCTGGTTACAAGAGGAATGGCTCCAGAGGGATAATATGTTCCTATTTTTCCTTCTAATCCAGGACACCTGTCCCTTCTCTGGGGCATGTGTAATATTTGGGGCTTCATCTCAACATGTGACCAGCCACCTGTTGTTCATGCCTTTCCAAATTGGCTTCTCGAGTTTGGGGCTGGCCAACTAGACCCCCACCCACGATAAAATGTGGTTTTACACAACACAAATATACTGGATTTGAAGAGTCTGCAGCCTCTGAGGAATTAGCTGGTCAAGACAATGCTCTTAAGCAGAAAAAACCATGACACCTCCTCCCCTTAAACATGATAGCTCTGATAAGTTTTAAGTCTGTCCTAAGTCTTTGAAGAGAAGGAAGGCTGGAGTTCACCGCAGTCTGTCATTTTCTTTCATCCCCCACTGCCATTCATTCATTCGACAAATATTTATTGACCACCTGCTCTGTGTCACTCATTGCCAATCATCCACTCATCTATTCACCCCACCAACGTGTATGGACCTCCGCTAAGAACCAAGTCCTGTGCTGAGTGCTGTGGGAGATGTAGCAATGAATAAAGCTCAGGTCTTCCCCAGAAGGAGATCTTAATTAGTTGGGTTGGGAAATTTCAAGCTACTGTGACTTAAGGCTCTTTGTGTGAAGAGAGATTCAAAGAACTATGGAACAACAAGGAGAGAGAAGTCACCCCCAGTTGGCAGGTAAGAAAGTTTGCAAGAGGATGTCATGCAAGACCTGAACCTTGAGGAATGGTTAGGATTTGGATACACAGAAAACACATGTGGGCAGTCAAGTTGTCGTACAATGGCGAGGTGCCAGGAGGGAGCTAAGAGAGCAGAGGGGGTCCTCCCAGTGATGTGCAGGGCGCATGTGCTGCTGGAAGAGTAAGTCGAGTGGGGGTGGGGACTGATTCAGAAAATGGTGGGTTTGAAAAATCTGAGCCTTTGCTATTTTCTTGGCCCCTTAGGTTCTGAGGTTTGGCACCCCATCTGCAAGCAGGCAGCCCGGGCAGAGAAGAAGTTAAAGGTAAGCACATTAGTCATGATGCGAGAACAGCAGTCCTATACAGAGACCTTTAACCTGTGAATGTGGGTTCCTGATACTATAGGGAGTGGGTGGAGCAACCCAGGCTGCAGAGAGAGATGAGCTCCCAGGCTCCTGGGTTCTTGAAGCTGTGGAGGGGATACCTGGGGTGTGTGTAGGGGATAGGGAGCACACTTGTCCTCCAGTGTACCTTTATACCATGACACCTGACAAACATATTACCTGCTGGAGTCTCCTTAACTAAAAACACACCTGTGCAATTCTGCCCAACTAATTACACGTGTCTCCTTTGCCATTTCATCCACTTACTATAAATTTTGTGGAAGAACTGGCTTTATTGATGTGTGATTTCTTTTGAGCCATACCTGAATTTTTTTTCCTGTTTCTTCCAAGATCTCTTTTATTTAAGGTGTTATAAGATATAATTGTTCTTTTCTTCCTTAATCTCTCCCTCTTTGAGGGCATTTCCCAAATTTGAGTGATTATTTTTTTGTAGTTGTAGATGGACAGAATGCCTTTATTTTATTTGTTTATTTTTATGCGGTGCTAAGGATTGAACTCAGGGCCTTGCATGTGCTAGGCAAGCGCTCTGCCACTGAGCTACAGCCCCTAAGTCTTTAAAAAAAAAAAAATACCTTTATGTAAATCAAACCCACTGCCTCACACATGCTAGGAGAGCGCTGTACTGCTGAGCCACAACCCTACCCCTTGAGTCATTCTTTAAAACCCTGAGGCTTGCTGGGCACAGTGGCATATGCCTGTAATCCCAGTGGCTCAGGAGGTTGCGGTAGGAAGATCATGAGTTCAAAGCCAGCCTCAGAATTTAGCGAGGCCCTAAGCAACTTAGTGAGACCCTGTCTCAAAACAAAACATAAAAAGGGCTGGGGATGTTACTCAATGGTTAAGTGTCCCTGGTACAAAAAAACAAAACAAAAAACCTGCAGCTTTCTGCTGTATATATGCACTACCTCTTTGTACCCTTATAAGCTTAGTATTTTTCTTGAAATCAACTCATTACTTTTTATTTAACTAAAATTATTTTAAAATAAACTTTATATTTCCAAGTGGAAATTAATAATACTTGCTATAAATAAAAAGCAGTCATAAAATAATTCTTGAGATTAAATCTTAAAACTTCTAGTTAATGTTTCCTGTACTCTCTTTGGTCAGGAAGAAAATAAAGGGAAATTAGCCATTGTTGAGACAGTTGTAAATATGTATTAGCACCAAATTGAGATTCCTCTTTGATCAAATCAGGAGGATTGAAATAAAACATTACATTACACTCACTCTGTGACTCAGTGTTATCAAACGTTCCACCTACACTCATTTTCCAGAACCATCCCTTGTTCACAATCCATATTTTGGAAAACACTGCTCCGTAGCCCCACTCAGAATGCTTTAAATTTCAGGATGAGAGGTCTGGGAGGGAACTGAGAAATCTTGAAGCTCAGCCCCTTCATTTTACACATCAGGAATCCAAGATCTCTAAAACACATGCTTCACCAGTGGTCCTTGATTCTCAAGCCATTGACTTTGCCACCACAGCACGCTGCCACTCTTGTGGAAGCACTAAGATTGACATCACGCTGTTCTGCTGAGGGAGCTATTAATCCACCATTGTCATTGTTCACAGACAGATTTTTTTAACTTTTTCACTTAAGTTGATATCAATTTGCAGAGGGTACATGATAAAGAATCAGCATATTGTGCAATTACATGATATGAATAAACAAACTACTGAGGAATGAATACTACGCAATTTTACTCAAAGTAAAGACATTTTTTGACTGGGATAATCCAACATGAAAAGTCTTATGAGTAATATGCTATTTAAAATGCTAGCTACAGGGGGCTGGAGTTGTAGCTCAGCAGTAGAGCACTTGTCTCGTATGTGTGAGGCACCAGGTTCATTTCCCAGCACCACATATAAATAAGCAAATAAAATAAAGGTCCATCAACAATAAAAAAAATAAAATAAAAAATATGCTAGCTACAAATATATAGAAAATAAATTTTTATTCTATCCAACAGCCTGAAACCCTATGCATGTTAGATCTCAGTCACACTTAGACATTGATTTAAAAGGCGGAAAATTTAAAAAGTACAAAAGTATCTAAAAAATACTTATTGCTGCTAATGTGCCCAGTCTCCCCTTGCCATCAAACCCAGGGTGCAGCTTCTCACCTGTTCTGCTTTCCTCTCTCCACAGCATAGACGGACATCTGAAACCTCCATCTCACCCCCTGGATCCAGTATTGGGTCACCCAACCGAGTCATCTGCGTATGTATTACTTTTCAGCCCTTTCCTACCCCTGGCCTGGCAGCTAAAGTTTCTAAGGATGAAGGAACCCTCAGGTTTTCAGCCAACTGATATTTGGTGTGTGCCTGTTCCATGCCAGGCCCTGAGGATGCAGTGAGTCCAGAGAGGACGTGGACCATGCCCTCAAGCACACAGTCTGGTAAAACAAGAGTCACAGAGATAGCGCAGAACACCACGGAGCACAAGAAACCAAGTGCAGTGATAGTGAGCCTTTGTAGGGTTCTGAAGCCAGTGTGAGGTCCCTCCTAACCCGTTCCTTAAGCAAGACAAGGGTAAGGTCAGCATAGGACCAGAGAGGCATTCATAGTGGGGCTCAAGTGGAAATTTGATGTGGGGGGAGGAGCGTGTACTGATGAGGAAGGAAGGGGAAGGAAGTCATATGATGTGGAAACCGCTATCCAGGATTTGGAAACATGTAGAACAGTTTTCTAATCGGGTGAGAAGTCCAGGGATGAAGAAGATCACCTGCAGGTATCTGAGCTGCCTTTTCCAGAGTCATTCAAGCACAGACAAACTCATCTGCCAGGGATGTGGCAGAAGGAACAGAGTTAGAGGACCTCAGAGGTCCCTTGTATATGTAATTAATTAATTCATTCAACAAACATGTGCTGAGATCTACTCTGTTAATAAGCGCTGAGCTCCATGCTGGAGAAAGTGGTGAACAACACACACCTGATGCCTATCCTCATAACATTAGACACAGAATGCCAGGAATCATCAGTTGCAGTTATGATAAGTGCCAGAAAGAGAAAGCACAGGGTTCCCTTGATGCTCCAGATGAGTAGAGGAACCTGAAGGTCCAGGACCAGCTGGGAAAAGGCTTCCTGAAGGAAAACTGTTTACGCTCAAATGTTTTAAGTCCAAACTAGAAGTCAGTCCAAGGAGGTGAGCGTGGCAGAGCCCAGGGGAACTGAAATGAGCAGCAGACAACATTCTGGTTAACTCCTGCATTGTACCAGCCTTCCACAAGTCGAAGGAGCCAGAAGGAATGTGGGGAGGGTGGGGTTGTCAAGGGCAGGGGACCCACTCCCAGGGAGAAGCTCTAGATGCAGCCCCCCAATCCACTAGTTTGGGTTGGGTCCTGACACCATGATGAGGTCATTACTCTAAATCCATATCCAATTTCCTCTTTGATCCCAGGATAATGCCCATTGATGAAACTATTTCCTTTCCTTTCTTCCTCTGGTCAAATGAAAAAAAGAAGAAGAAGAAAGAGACATAGGAGTCATTGACTTCAGTGTCAATATGAGTCAATACCACCATGTGGCTGACACAGAAGACAAGCCACTCTCTTTTTTTGTGGTGTTGGGGATCAAACCTAGAGCCTCACACATGCGAGGAAAGTGCTCTATCACTGAGCTGCACCCCCAATCCAAGACAGGCTACTTTGATCACAGACTTTACTCATTGAAGATTCTTGTCCAGCACAAGAAACAAGGTAATCCCCAGACTATTTTCTGTGCTATGAACTGGACCAGTCAATAGCAGAATTGGTGGGCAGTTTTGGTCCTTCATTAACAAGTGTGAGCCTGTCTCCAGGAAGTGAGGGTTCAGGAATCTGCAGCACTAGAACGCCATTACTCACCAACTGTTACCCAGGAGTCTCATTAACCCTGGTGAAATAAGTTGATCCCTGTTGTTCACCTTGGTTTTCTGGAGAAAGCCTGCTAGAATCACCCCCATAATAAGCAGCTTCCTTATGATCAATGACAACTAGGACCCTGCTCTCCTGCCTTCCAGCTGGAGGCTTATTGCTGAGATCAGTTGCCCCTCACATCCGAGTCGTACCTTCTGTGTGCTCCTTTCACCTCGCATGGTGCCTCACATCCAGACGCTCTGTCATGTGCATTTCATATCAGCCATGTTGAACTCAGACCTTTCTAAACATGGCAAAGCATCTATCAGCCCACATTAGGGATATGCAGTAACACATAGAAAGATGGTCTGTTGGTTTAACTTTCAGAGATAATTGATATTTTGATATTAAAATAGAATTACCAGTGAACCTGGAATGGGCAAGTTCTTTCAAACTTTCAAATTTTGTTCCACTCCCCACCGGCTTCTAGAACCATCCTGGGGTAGCTTGATTTCAGCCAGCCCCACATATTCTCTTCCTTCCTGGCTAATTATGTTAGGATGCCTCTAATCAATCACTGTGCCTCCAGACCTAAGGTTCATTTATAGCACTGTAAATAAAGCAGCTATAGGAAGAAATATAAATTTAGTAATTTTGAGGTTTGGAGTAAAGTGCCAAAATGACTAACTATTCATCAAGATGAGTTTGTAAAATGACAAGAGCTCTCAAGGTCAGGACTTAATATCCCAGGACCAAAGGCATCTTCAGCAAATAGACTCCTCTAAGCAGCTTCCCCTTGCCCACACCCCCAAAAATTGATGGACATGTGGGTGTCTGCACCATCTCTAGCAAAAATCAGATGGCACAACTCAGAAGAATTCAGCTGAGCAGAGTTTCATGGAATTGGATAAAAGGACCCACAAGAAATAGGGAAGCATCCAAGGACAGCAACAGTGGGATATTGTTGCCACCCCAGGAACAAGGACACGAGGGAAAGGAACAGCATTAGCAGAGTTGGCAGGAGGTAGAGCTGTGAAGAAGAGCCATCAGACAGAAGTCATGCTCAACCCACATCCAGGCAGGAAAGTTGCAAGGGGAGTTCGTAGGCCAGTCTCTCCCTCTACTCACGATCCAGGCTGCCGGTTCCTCCCATTGCCAAACCTCCTGAGCAGGAGAGGCTGTGGTGCAGATGGGCTCAGGACACACAGGCAAGAAGAGTGGCTACAGAGTTTAGGGACAATGCGAGGAACATGGTGCCCAGGTAATAGTAGGATGGGCCAAGGATAAAATAAACAGAGAAAGGGCCTTGAGAAGCTTTTAAAATAGCAAAGTTTGTAAGATAATTAGAAAGCTGCTACTCTCTAGAGTAATCATAGTCCTGAGACTCTGTCTGGCTCGTCTGGCACCTCCAAGTATTAGACAGAACATTACAAGGATATTACATTCTCCTTAGATTCTCTATCTAGTAGCCCCCTCTTAATTTACCTCACCCCAGCACATTCCAAACCATAGTAGTTACCAGAAAGACAGATCCTAGTTGACCAGAGCAGAAACCAGGTCATAAGAGGAAACCGCTACGTAGACTGGTTCAGGACATGGTTTCAGGAGCCATGAGAAATGGGTTGTCACATGCAAGCAGACACTGTCTTCCAATCCATGTGGCCCTATAGAGTTCTGAACTCTGGAAAAGTTAAGTACAAGTTCACTGTAAGGAGCTGCTTTCTGGGTGCAGCCCTCTATAGTGAACTCCCTGACCTGGGAGGTCACATGGAATGGCAGGCTCTCAGGTGAGACGACCTGGGTTCAAATGCTGGATTTTGCCACTTATTGGCTGTGTGGAGTTGGAAAGTTCATTGATTTCTCTGCACCTCTGTTTCCTTATTCAAAATGAGGATAACATAAGTCTACTGTTGTGAGTTGTATGAATTAACTGAGTTAATCTGCATAAGAAACTTAGAGCCTGGCTCATAATAAGTGCTTGCCAATTGCTAGCCAGTGTTTCAATGTCATGATTACTTTAGTGTTTACCATCTTCCTTCTTGTGGAGGCTGGGAATGGGGATGTCCCCACAGCGTGGGGTTAGAAGGCAGTCACCCAGGTTGTGTATCAGACTGAATTCAAAGCTACTAGCTAATTGGTGTAATTTATTGAATTTTTCTAGCCCAGAAAATAGGAACAACTTTGACACTTGCTCCACAGAGGTTTATAACATTTAGAGGAAATAATCCCTGTAAAGCACGGGGCCTCTCAAACAATATGTGCTCAATAAATGTTAGCCCTGTTGGAATGGATGGCCTCTAAGACCTTTCTTATTCCAGCATTTTACAGCTCTTTGATTAGATCCTAATATTTGGCTTTTAGTGAAAACTAGTGGAACTTGTCCTTCCTTTACCTCGTTTTTGTTTCCTCTTTTCTTTCACTTTTCCCTCTTATCTTTCTACTCCTTTCCTGTTCATTTCCCTCTTCCCCAGGCTAAAGTGGATAATGAGATCCTTAATTACAAAGACCTGGCAGCTCTCCCCAAGGTTAAGTCCATCTACGAGGTACAACACCCCGACCTCATTTCCTACGAGCCTCATTCCAGATACACGTCTGACGAGATGCTGGAGAGATGTGGCTATGGCGAGGTATTGCATGCAGCCCTTCTCTCTGGGGCTGTTGAAGGAACCGCGATCCCATTTCATCACAGACAAGTTGATCTCCAGTGTAGACTCTTCAAAACTGGAATTTATAGCTCACATTTAAAAATCAAGAGATTTCACCCACATATATGGCTTTCTGATTATTCTTGGGAAATCAGACATTAAATTTAGGATTTTCACCATCTGGAGATAGGTAGCAGCGCCCCCTATGGACAGGACATGGACTCCCCATTCTTCCCAGTCCTCACCCCTCCCTGTAAAACCCAACATGGAAGCTGAGAGCTTGTGACCACTTATCACTTGAGCTTTTGTTTTCTTATACTGGAGAAATTTTGCTTTTGCTCAGCCCATGACTCTCCTCCCCTGCCAGTGGCCAGGGGAGGCCAGGCTTAATGGTCACTGAAGTTCATATTCTTCGGTTAGGTATGTTCTCTTGTTTTTGCACTTGACATATAGCCCCTGTGCTCAAAGCAAGAGAACACTTAATAAGACTCAGCATTGGATGGCTTTAGAAATCATTACATGGTTGCTAGATGAAAAAAAGTTCTCTGGGGAAGGCAGGGTGATCATCACATAGAAGGCGCTGACCATCTGTACCCCAGGAGATTTCTGACCCCATCCCGGGCCTCCTGAACTACAATGGGCAAAAGGAGCACTGGCCTGATGGACAGGTTCCCAAATTCCTGACCCAGCTCCACCACCAACTAGCTAATGTCCTCAGGCAATCCACCTCTCAAAAAGGGACTGGGGTTCCATTTGGTTAAAGAGCCTAATGCTAAGGTTCTCTGTATTCTGGACCCTGAAATGCACCAGGAAAAAGGAACTCAGTGTTTGTATAAGTTGATTCTCCTGAAGTTAGACAAGGCCAACCAGAGCCCATGGGCTACAGCCAGCCCCCAGATGTTTTGAGTCACTCATAGAGTATCTTTCAAAAATGTAAATTAGTTGTCAACATGTAAATGTTGGGAGATTTCACATAAGAAACTGCATTTCTGAGTTTTCTTGGAAATTAAGAAGCTGGTTAACATTGGGCAGGCATCCAGCATGACCCTGACCTGCTAGAGCTGAGAGCACTTCCCTGATCAATCCACCCACCCGCCCAGCTCTCTTACTGATGACCACAGCCTGGCTCTTGCTCAGTCTTACTTTTGGATCCCCTTCCCTGGACATGGTCTTCACAAACACAAAGGGGCCATAAGCCAGGAGGGAGACGAGAAAGGGTCATGAAAATAAGCTCTGAGTCTGCAGCAGAGGAAGCTAGGTCTAAGTCAGAACCAGCCTCTTCCTTCCCAAGGGGTCCTGGGTGGCCCTGAGCTCCCCTCATTCCTCCCTAGGCCTTTATTTTCCCATGTTTAAAAGGGATGGTCATGATCACAAGGTTTCCTTACCTCCTAGAGAGTGGTGCCAAGGGGCAGCTGCAGGCCCTCTCTTTGCCGAACCATTTAACAATACTCTGTCCCTTCCTCTTGCCCTCCTTTCTTTCCCTTCCTTCGTCCATGGCTGCCTTCAACCTCTCCGCTTCTAAGTCGTTGGGAACATTATCTCCCTACTCCCAGGTAATTAAACTGACATGCAAAAGGTCAGGAAAACCTTTTATGTATTTGCGTCCTTTAAGCTGTCCAAAATGGGCCCTGACTTCACCCCTCACCAGGTCCCCACGGGGCCTGATCCCTCACCCAAGGTGCTCCCCCAGCCAGGGCAGGGCATAATGATGGGAAAGGTTGGCAGAGAACTTATATGCCCCCAGAGATGACCTCCCTCGAGTCTCTGTGATCCCTGGGACTGACTCATGTTTCTGTCTAGACTTTGGAGTGATGCATGACTCTCCACTGCCCTCCTCAGGCTGAGTGTGTGGCTCCGACGGGGTGTCTCCCTATTTGTGTCTGAACCACAAGAATCCCAGAGTCTGTGGCATGCCCCACCTGCCTGCTGGACTCTTGGACCACAAGCCTTACTCACAAACCATCTCCTTCCCCAGGACATCTATGAGAACCTGGACCTCCGGCAGAGACGGGCCTCCAGCCCGGGATACATCGACTCCCCGACTTACAGCCGGCAGGGCATGTCTCCCACCTTCTCCCGCTCGCCTCACCACTACTACCGCTCAGGTAAGATGGTGGGGCATCCCCAAAGAGAGAGGAAGAGCAAGGCTTCAGAGACAACTCAGGCTTCCCCAAGATTTCCCTGATAGCACACCCTCTGGAAGCCTCTGGACACTCAGGTGGCCAACGAGGCCTGACTGAGTTCCTGAGCTGCTCCTGGCAAGGAGAAAGATGGGGTATGTGACACTGAGAAGCAGCAGGAGGTGGGTGAGGAGCTGCCAGGACTAGGGAGTGGCAGGAAGCCCAGGGCCCTTGCTGGATGGAACAGGCCTCCTCCAACCTCACCATTTGGCCTGCCCCATTACCATCCATGGGGCAGATCCAGACTAGAAATAGGGCTCACCAAGGGCCCAGTCCCACCCAGCCCCCAGCCAGTCAGGGTGTCTACAGTCAACCCAGGGCTAGGGGTACAGCTGGTGTCTGGATAAAAGACAGGGGCAGGTAAGGGAGGGGCCCAGGGAGGACAGGTTGGGGGTGCTAAGCAAAGAAGACACCTTACTGAAGCTCAGTAGAGTTGATTCTTACAACCCACAAAACCTGACTTTGGGGTCAAGCAAGGAAACAGGTCGAGCTCGTTCCTGCAGATGCGGTGCATGAGAGCTCATGCTTCTTCCACTCCGGAGCTGAGCACGCCGGGTCGCCCAGGCCACCCCATTCCCGCTGCCATCACCTCACCGCTTCCTAAACTGCCACTGCGCTAATGCCTGTTTTCTCTGTGCCTCTGTTCTCTCTGGGGACCACTGCCTGCGTGCTCCAGGGCCCGAGAGTGGCCGGAGCTCTCCATACCATAGCCAGTTAGATGTGAGGTCCTCCACTCCGACCTCTTACCAGGCTCCCAAGCACTTTCACATCCCAGGTAGGCACTGCCAGCCTGGCATTCCCAGCATGGGTGCATGCTCTGTGGGGTCATGGGGCACCTGAGCTGTCCACTCACTGTTCAGGTATGGAGGAGAAGCCAGTTCCTGGGGGACCCTCCCTAACCAGTCACCCATGCTAACCCACCCTCCAGCCCCAATATGCCCATGGATTTGTCTCCTACTTGACAGAACCAACCTTGATCAGGACCACAAGTGAGCATCCCAGGGAAGAAAAGTCTCAGGGAGCTAGTGTGAAATGCCTGTGTTTTGGGGAGCCTGAGGGGGCGCAGCAGTAACGTAGCGGTAAAGGCTGCTTCCATCCAAGCTCTTGGGACTGAATCCCAATCCTGCTGCTTGTAAGCTGGTGACCCAGGGCCAGCAACTTAGCTTCCCTGCACCTCTGCTGTTCTGCCTGTGCAGCAAGGCACTGTTTGGACCCTGAGGTTGCAATTGTGCTTCTGGCCCCCAGCCTCGACCCTCCCTTCATGGAATGCATATTCTAATGTGGGGACAGAGACCATAAAAGAATAAATAAATAAGTAAAAGGATGATTTCAGGTGATGATAGATGCTATGAACATTTAAAAAGAAAGAAAGAAAGAAAAAAAGAAACCAGGGCATCATGAGCCTGGAGTAGAGGAGGCTAGGCGAGATGGGGTGATCAGAAAGGGCTTCTTGGAAGAGGTGACATTAAAGCTGAAAGATGAGAAGGAGAAGCCCTATGAAGATTCCCAGGGAAGCATCCCAGGCAGCCAGAAAGGCACATATAAAGCCATTCTGCCTGAAGGTGGCCATAAGGTAAGAGGAAGGCCACTGGGTGTGGACTTGGAGGACAAGATCTCCCCGAGGGACAGCAGAGCCAGGTCTAGATCCCGCCTCCCAACTCAGCTCAGTTTCTCACTTGCCACTCACTTTCCCCACAAGAATTCATCTTGCCGGTTTATCTACCTACACCTTTCTCAACTGCCCCAGAGTGGTCCCATCCTGTCTGGTTTTGAGGAAGGGGCAGAAAGATAATGCTGAAATTTGGCTGACGCATCCTAGAGACTTTCACATGGATTGAGGTGTGACCACTGGGAGGAGCAGTGGACACTCCTTGCATGAGGATCTGCTGAGCACGCACTCCGCCCTGCATGCCCACCATTCAGCCCCACGTCCCTTCTTTGGCACCATTTGTATCCATCCATCTCTCTCCCCCCACCTTACTTGGTACCTGTTGGGGTGAGGTTGAAAGTTCAACTGTGGAAGAGGAAGTCTACTGGGGAAAGATGGTGGCCCCTTGGAAAAGGTTGCTGACAGTCTCTGTCTTCTGAGATCAACTGACCAAGTGCTGTCTCCTCCCCTGTCTCTTTCTCTCTCCTCCCCCTGTCCCTTCCTGGTCTGTCTGGCAGCTGGAGAAAGTAACATCTACCGGAAACCCCCGATCTACAAACGGCATGGTATGGTCAGAGGCAGACAGGGCTTGGCCAGACAAGGAGAGGGAGGAGGTTAACCCTCTGTGCAGTTGCTCTGCACGGGCCACCAGGAGCAACAGGATGCAAGGACACAGCTTGGTCCTTCTTCTTGCTAACCCCAAATCACTCAGGGTGACATTGTAAAGGAGTTTTGTGTCATTCAAAAGAGAAAGGAAGGCCTCATGTCCCCTAAATTCTTTCCCACCACCTCTCCAACCCCCTTTACCTGCTGTCTGGTGTTTTAAGTCCCATGATCAGGGTAATTCTTATAAAATGCATGTGCCCCTGGAAGAGTTATACTCCAAGGCATTGATATTAAAAATGTTTACTAGAGTCACATGAGATTCATACAGATTCTTCAACACCTCCCTAGACTTACTGAATTGAAATTTTGTAATTATAGCAATTTATTTGGTGATTCTGTTGCTTAGTCCTGCTTGGGAACAACTGTTCTAAGATGTCTCAGTCATCCTGAAATCAGATGAAGACCCTAAAAGGGCACATAGATGAGAAAAGAGTAGAGAATCCTTTCCTTCTTTCATTCATTCATTCCTTTACTGTTTATTAAAGAATGGCCTATGGACCATTTGCTCCTTTGAGACTTATTAAATAATGGCCGATTCCCTAGCCCCTTCTATGACAGATTCCCTAATTAGAAATACTAAGGATGCCCAAGAAATGCACTAAATTGGGTTCATCCATGATTCCTGCCTATGCTTGGTATGAGAACCACCAAGTCATTCACCATAGAAACCTCCTGTTCATTTTGCAAAAGCCTTTATTGACCTCAGCTGAATAAGCATATCCCTCCCTTTGCCAATGCGGAAGAGCAGCTGCCACCCTAGGTACCCTTTCCTGCTGTGGGTCTAGCCCGTAACAGAGGGAGCACAGACTTGGACAAGCTTGAAGGTATGTGGAGCAGTCCTGTACCAGAGTCTGAACTAACCACCTGGTGGAGGGGTCAGGACAAGTATAAATAGTGGCTCTGGGTGCTAAAGACCCTGCAATTTCGACAAACATCCTCAGTTTCAGTGGGGGCCATAGCACCCCCATAGTGATTCTGGAAGCATGTACATGTGTACATGTGACTGTGAAGGACATGCTATGTGCCCCCAAGCGGCCACAGGAAGGCACCAGCCCCAACAAAGGTGACTTGGCTTTATATGCAAAAAAGCCTACAGGTCCCAAGCTTCTCAGACTTGGTAGGATTTTCCAGGTTGGCTCTGAGCGGTAACAGAGGCACAGACCTAGGAGGACTCCAGGGTAGAGGTGGCTGAATAGGGACAGGGTGGTGAAATAACAAAATGTGGTTGCCAGGAGGGACTTCCCAGGACCCAAGTCAAAGGAGACTTCCAAAGCTCCTTAGCATGCACTCCTGGAGAAAGGTGCACAAGATGAGCTTGCTGGAGGTCAGCCTGTCCCAGGACCTCTGCTGCTCTGGTTCCACAGAACTCAGAGCTTGTCCCAAAAGCTTCCCTATAGGTCTCCCTGAGAAATAGTTGTGGAATCACACTAGTTTCCCCAATCCCTCTCTCTCTCTGCCTTGTCAACAAATCATCAGTCTTTGGACCACCATAATGTCACTGCCATGTAAGCATTCATGCACAGTGGGTTTTTTGGGTCACTCCTATTGTGGGTTCACTTCCAAAGGAAACTTGGAGCTTCTGAGTCAATGCACCAATTTCAACAATTAAAGATGAGGAAACTGAGGCAGAGATGGGTAGGATTTTCCCAGTGTCATGTTGTACCTGAACTAAGTGGCAAGAGTTAGGACCAGAACCCAACTTTGCTGAGCCGCTGTCTTGTGCTCCATCCTTTGGGCCCTGTAGCCTCCTTAAACAGGATGATAGGCAGGGTGCCATGGTGCATGCCTGTAATCCCAGGGACTCAAGAGGCTGAGACAGGAGGATCGCAAGTTCAAAACCAGTTTCAGCAATGGTGAGGCACTAAGCAACTCAATGAGACCATCTCTAAATAAAACAAAATAGGGTTGGGGATGTGGCTTAAGGGTTGAGCACTCCTGAGTTCAATCCTTGGTACCAAAAAAAAAAGAACAGGATGACGATAGAAGGCTGCCCACACTACAAATACCACAGCCCTGCCTGTGATTCCTGTCTAGATGTAGCTCACATCCATAAGAAAGCAGACTCCTGAGGGGCCAGAAAGGAAATGGCTGGACTCCTCTGGAGCCTGTTGAGTTTTACTCTTTACTAAAGAGCAGACCTGGGAGTTCACAAATTGTGCTGCAAGGAGCCTGGGTCTGGCCCAGATCTGGTTCAAACTTTCTGTGTGGTCTTAAGCAAGCCCCTTCCCTCTCAAGTCTTTAGATTCCCAAACATAAAAGGAGAGGTTGGACCAGAGCTTTTCTATCTCCAATGCTCCACGTCCCAGACCCTCCTATCTCTGACTTCAAAGTAGCCTCAATCCCATGTGCTAATGCCTGGCAGAGACAGGGAAAGGGTACAGATTCCCAACCAGGACACTGACTTCAGCTCCTCTCGGGTCGTTTGCAGGTGATTTGTCTACAGCAACCAAGAGCAAAACAAGTGAAGACATCAGCCAGGCTTCCAAGTACAGCCCAGCCTACTCGCCAGACCCCTACTATGCTGCAGAGTCTGAGTACTGGACCTACCATGGGTCCCCCAAAGGTAGCACCCCCATGGGACCCTGAAGCCAGAGCCCATCACCTGTGCTAGGGACTTAAGAGGTCAGAACAATCACCCACTTCTTCACACCACCAACGCGAATAAGAATGAAGGGCCAGCCACAGGCCCTAGGGATACACTGGGGAGCAAAACAGACCAGGTTCCTGCCCTTGTGGAGGAGACATAGATCCCAAACATGAGGTAGGAGAGCTGATGGTAGGGGTGAGCTGTCCAGCCAGATGCAGAGGTTGCCACACTAAGGGTGACCGGGGGGCAGGTCAGCAGGGAGTGCAGATTGTCTGACGTCTGCCCACACCTGAGAGGGGAGGACCAGTTCTACTGGAGGAAAGGAAAGGCTACCCTCTTAACCTTAACCTTGGAAAGGGACCACAGCAAGTGGGGAATGAGGGAAGATGTTCCCCAGGTCTTGTGAGTTGAGAAAAGGATGTGGGTTATCATCCTAGTTGGAAGCTAGTTAGAAGCTATTCAAAACAGTGACATGATCACAGTCATGCTTTTGAGAGATCGCTTTGGCTGTAGGGTGAAAAATGGTGGGAATGGAAAAAGAAAAGATATAGAAAGATAAAAGGCTCTCATGGGCACCCTGGTCCTTGGGTCACCTCCTCACCGATTCAGAGATCCTGAGTTATTCCTTTCAAGTATGGGGAGAAATTGTCTTCAAGTACTGATCCATGTCGCTTAGATTCAACACCTGGCTTTACTAATTAAACGCCCATTCTGTGCAAGGCTTCATGGATGCTCAGAAGTGAGTCTTTCATTACCCTCAGAGAATTCTCCTTTAGAAAAGGAGGCAAGACACAAAAATAGTATCATCCAAGGTGGACAGGAACAAGCACCCATGAGAGATTAGGTGTTCAGAGGTTGCAATGACAAGAGAGACCACACCCAGGAGGTATCTTAGATGAGCCTATTTCATCCCAGGAAGGGAAGGAAAGAGGGAGGGAGGAAGGGCCCAATGGCTTAAGCCAGGGCAGGCTGAGTGGGGAGCACAGAATGGAGCTGATCCCGTCTGTATCTTGACAGTGTCCCGAGCCAGGAGGTTCTCATCTGGAGGAGAGGAAGATGATTTTGACCGCAGCATGCACAAGGTGAGCAGGCTGCATCACTGAAATAAGAAGCTTAGAGGGTATATTACTGAGGATTTTTTTTTCATTTGCAAGAATGGAAATAATATTCAAACTTACTTACAATAGAAAAAAGAAATGCCTAAGTTTGCATAGCTGAAAAATCAAATGGTAGGATTAGCTTCAGATATGACCAGATCCAGCTGTTCAAAAAAAAAAAAAAATGTCATAGGGAAGCTGTCTCTCTCTTTGCCTGGGGGGCTCGCCTCTGTATTTGTTTCATGTTCAAACTGGTCCTTTTCCTATAGTGGCAAATGGGTGCCAACGGCTCTCCCAGCTGGCTGGTGGGAACATAAGATGGTCCAGCCACTGTGGAAAAGTTTGATGGTTCCCCAAAAAGCTAAATATAGAATTATCACAGGGTCCAGCAATTATACTTCTGGTAAATACCCATAAGAATTGAAAATAAGGACTAAAACAAATGTATGTACGTATGTGTTCATGCCAGTACTATTCAAAATAGCTGAAAGGTGGAAACAACCCCAAGGTCAAACTCACAAACGGATAAACAAAATGTGGCAGATCCATGCAATGGAATATTATTCAGCTGTTAGAAAGAATGAAGTATTGACACATGCAACAATGTGGGCGAACCTCGAAAATATTGCAAAAACATCTAGAAAGGTAACCTAGAGATTGAAATCTACAGGAAGATGTGCATAGGTTATATGAAAATACCACACCATTTTACATAAGACTTGAGCATCTGAGGATTTTGGTATGAAGTAGGGATAGACCTGGAATCAATCCCCTGTGGATACTGAGGGATGGTTTTACTTCAGAATGGTTAATTTTAAGTTATATGATTTCTACCTCAATTAAAAAAAAAAAAAAAAAAGATGGCTATCTCCCTATCTTTGAACCAACTGCTGGGACAAGGGCAATGTGATCCTGTCATGGCCAAACCTGCTTTTTTATGCAACCTCCAGAGCCTCACCCAGGCCTCAGGACTATTTGTAGAAGAGAGATGAAGTCCAAAGGAAATGCGGGTACTGTAAGGAGGGAGGAATGCTGGGAAGGCAAAACTGACAGGTTCCCCCAAAAAGGTCCCAGTGAGTCAGCCCTTCCCAGGGTCATCTGCTCTCTTCTAACTTCATCCTGCTCCTCCCCACCCCAGCTCCAGAGTGGGATTGGCCGTCTGATTCTTAAGGAGGAGATGAAGGCCCGGTCGAGCTCCTACGCCGATCCCTGGACCCCTCCCCGGAGCTCCACCAGCAGCCGGGAGGCCCTGCACACAGCTGGCTACGAGATGTCCCTCAATGGCTGTAAGCACTCCTGGGGAGCCAATGCCTGCCAGCTGTTCACTTTGAGCCAGGCACCCTGTGAGGCACCGTCCAAGTGCCCCCTTCTTCCTCCCAGACCACTGAGCAGTAGGCGCCCCCACATGCTACAGGCAGGGGACCCAGGCACAGAAACCTTCAGCAACCTGTGCAAGATCAATGAGTTTGTAAGTGATGGAGCTTTCTCCATGAGGTCCCATTCCTGAAAGCTTTGTCGGAACACAACCAGCCCCAAACTCAATCCCCTGGGCTAACAAAGGGATAAGGAGAAGTTGCCTGTGAAAGTGAACCCCAGACCCCCCCACACACACTTTCCTCCATCTCAGGTGTCTCCTCTGAGAGCCTCCTCAGGTCTAGAACACAGACTTAATAAGGGACTGGATGGGACACCAATGAGTCCATCCTCTGCCCTGAGCAGTCATCCCACTTCTTTGGGCCATCTGAAGCTGTGACATTCTGTTGGGTTCAATGTAAAGAAAAATACCTTCAATGTAAAGAAAAAATTCCAACACTGTAGCCTGAGGGGCTCAAAGCCCGTTTGCTGAGGTGCTGGGCCTCCCATCACTTAGAGATATACAAACAGAGGCTTCACTCAAGCACTTGACTTTGAGATTCTGTCACTGCAAGCTCCTCCCTGTTCCTGGACAGGCACACGTGCTCTGTCTGCCTCCTCCTTTTCTTTTTTTTTTTTTTTTTAAAGAAGAGAGAGAGAGAGAGAGAGAGAGAGAGAGAGAGAGAGAACTTTAGTATTTATTTTTTAGTTTTTGGCGGACACAACATCTTTGTTTGTATGTGGTGCTGAGGACGGAACCCAGGCCACACGCATACCAGGCGGGCGGGCTACCGCATGAGCCACATCCCCAGCCCCCTCCTCCTTTTCTTACCCCTGTGGGACTCAGTCCTACCCGGAAATACCATCTCACATCAATACATGATGGACAATAATAGGTATTGTTTATTATACACAGACACATTATCATTCCTGATCCTCGAGAATCCCTGCAACCTCAAGATTGTTATCACTCATTTTATAGATGAGATAACTGAGGTGAAGTCACTTGCCAAGGTCAAAAAGCCAATAAGTGACTGAGCAAAGATCAGACCTAAGTTGGAGGGACCCTAAGGCCATGATCTTTTCCCTCTTTGCCTTACTACACCTTGAGCTTGGTGAGATTAAAGATGGCGGTGGTGGTGATGGTAAAGCCAGTTGTAGGGCCTGTTAGTATGCCCCAGGCACTGTGCTGAGTTCCCTACTGTGTTATGTCATATATTCTTCACAGAAGCCCTATAGAGGAGACACTGTCACTCCCACTTTACAGTTGAGAAAACCAAAGCATTATTAAGTAACTTGTGTAAAATTAGGTGTCTATTAATGGCAGGATGAATAGATGAGCCCATTTTCACAATCTGACCACTATTTTCAATCCCCAGCTCTAAGCCCTATGCAGTGTACCCAGGCTGCTCAAAATTCACACTTAGTGAATAGAGTGTGTGCCTAGCATGTGCAAGGCCCTGGGTTCCTTCCCCAACTCCACACACACACACACACACACACAAAATCACTTCTGTTCAACCACATCTGTGCAACAATCATCCCAGATCATCTACACCACACCAGGTGCTGGACTAGGAGCTGGGGGGATGCGGGGGGAAGCAGGCACCACCATTGGAAACTGACCAGTAGTAATGGAGTTGCTAAGAAGGCCCTTCCTCTCCACCAGCCAGGTGGCTAAGTACAGAAGCCTTGTGTCCTTGTCCCCAGGAACTCTCTCTATCATGTCTGTCTGTCCCCATGAACCCTGACCTCCATCTTTTCTTTCTTGCAGCTCCTCGTTCACACTACCTGGCTGACAGTGGTATGTTCTACCTGCCCTGCTTTCAGTTCGTGGTATCCTGTGAGGGTACTGTCAAGATGGCTGCAGTCTCCCAGATCTCTGCTGGCTGTACAGTGTAGATGTCTCGGCACAGTCCAGATCTCAAAGAGCTGACCCCACCATAGTTGTGAGATAGCAAGGCTCCACTTGGGGTTCTAGAACCAAGGCTGCCATGCCCAACAGCTTCCAAAGAGGAAGAAAGAGCACCTCTTCCACCCACCTGGGAGCCTTCCCTCTGCTTCTGAGCTCAACTCCAATTTCCAGGCCTTTGACCAGAGCTACCTGTGGACTGGACAGATGGGTTCATCATAGGATAGATGTGTATAGGTTAAGGCCAGAAATGGGTGTGAGTAGTTGTCTCTGGTGGGCCTAGAATTCTGCAGGGAACGGGGTCAAGTTGCAGGTCTGGAGGGCATCAGGAAAAATGGGGGCCTCTGGCTCCTACCCCTTCCCATTGGGTTATGGGTAATACTGGCCATTTATAACCAAATGTCTCCAAGGAGAGTAATGACCCCTAGTTTAGAGTTCCTGGTAATTGTTCTGGATCCTTCTTTTCAGATCCTCTTATCTCCAAATCTGCCTCTCTGCCTGCCTACAGGAGAAATGGGCTGCACAGGGTAAGAGAGGCTCTGCTGGGGCGTGGGACCACCCCCAGATCCCAACACCAGGCCATTATTCTGGCAGCTGATTTTGAGTGAGACTGGAGGGAAAATCTTGGGGCTAGAAGTGAACCCAGTGAAGGGACCCAATGGCAAAGACTTGCGTACCTCAATTATGACCCCTGTGTGAAAGGAGGCTCCATGAGAGAGATCAGGGAAAACTTGTATTTATTGAGCAAGAATCCTGTGCTGGACACTGAACTTTACCAGCACCTATTCATGTGACCTTCACTTCCCAGAGAAGGGGGTTACTAGTATTGACTATATTTTGTAGATGCAGGAATGGAGGCAGAGGGCTGAGGTGACTGGCCCAAGCTCACACCCAGCAGTCATGGAGCCAGACCAACTAAATCTGCAACCCATACCTGACTGCTGTGCCCCAATATAGCATGTAGTCTTCTGAGTTACATGAGCTCTAGAGCCTGTGACATAAAAACTTCATAGAAGTAGTGAACTGGCTTAGAGTCTGCAAGGGAATAAAAACTTGTCTTGTTAGCAATAGGATGGATCTGGAGGCTGTGAAACTAAACAAGTTACAGGAGCCAAGGACAGGAACTTTGGGATAGATGTTGAATTATTGAGCACCCACTAAGTCTCGGGCACTGTTTCAGGTACTGGAGATCCTGTACTGAAAGCAGCTGCTGCTCCTATGGAACTCATATTCTAGTTGGTACCTAAACAATGAACAAGAAAATGTGTGACATGATATCAGGTTGTTGGAAGTACTAGGGTGGAAAACAGAGCCATGGAATAGAGAAGGGAAGTCAGAGAGGAGGTGAATTCAGACAAAGGCTTGAGTGTGGAGAGAGAACCTCATCACCTGGTGACCTGCAAGAGCCATCCAGATGCAGGGAAGTACAACGTCTAAGTCCTCGAGTAGGGATGGCAAAGTGGTCCTGAACCACATGACCAGGATGGAGGGAATAAGGCGGTGAAGCCAGGCAGGAACCTCATTAGGGCCTTGTACACCAGGTAAGGACTTCAGAGTTCAATGGATGTACTGAGATCCAAAGGATCCCTCTGCCCAATGTGTGGAATGGAGACTACAGATGGGCAGAAATGGAAACCCTAGATCCATTAGGAGACTATTGTGGGGTGGAGCACACAAAAATGACGAGAGCATTGCTACAGAGCAGTGGCTGGTGTTGAGAACCCCTGCCTGCTACGCACGCTGTCCTCCACGCACCGGAGGCTAGACACTCCTTCATTCAGCAGAGGTTTATTGAAAGCGTCTTCTATGCACCAGGTACAATTCAGGATGCTTGTAACACAGCAGAACAAAGACCTCTGCCCCTCGGAGCTTATATTCTTCTAGGGACAACAGAAAGTAGGAAGTAAATAGGAAACAAGTCCGATCATATAGAATGTTAGAAGACAGTGCTAGTTTTGAAAAAGATGAAGGGCTAGGGATATAGCTCAGTTGGTAGAGTGCTTGCCTCACATGCACAAGGCACTGGGTTCAATCATGGGCACCACAAAAAATAAAAGAGAGGAGCAGAATAAGATTGAGAGCTTATCAAGGGGGCAACTTGGAATTCTCAATAGGGTTGTAAGGAAAGACCTCATAGACCAATGAAAGAAAGCACAAGATGAAATTCACCAAATGAATGGGTATATATTGAGTATATATTCAGTGCCTACTGTGTGCTAGGAATAGGCACCAGAAGCTGGCAGCAAGCTCAGTTCCCTTGACTGGAGATGGGGACTGCTGAGATGGCCCCGTGCCCCACCCGCTCCCTGGTACATGTCCTGAGATGGGTGAGTGCTTCCAGGAGGCTCAGGCCAGCCCTGGCTTTGTCTCTCCTGCAGACACCCAGCGCAGACCTCTTCCACTACGACAGCATGAACGCAGTCAACTGGGGCATGCGAGGTAAGCACGTTCACTGGGGTTGCAGGAGGAGGTCCCTCCTGGGACTTCCCAGGGACTCCGGATGCACTGCTCATAGCTGCTGCTTGACCTTTGGCAAACAACTCCTACAGATTCTGTCCCCATGCTGGGCTCTGTGCAAACCCCAAGTTTCCACTCCCTTCCACTTCCACTGCCTCCTTTGCCCTGCTCTTCCCTCATCCTCTCAATTCCCTGGCCTTGGGTGATCTCCAGGCCATCTGTCCCATCTGGGTTCCCAGAGCCATCACAGAATGCTGATCTCCCTGTCCTGCTGAGCTAAAGCCGCCTGCCAGCCCTGGTGGAGGGAAACACTCAGAGCCAAATACACATGGTTCCCAGGAAAAAAAATTCCATGAGCTTCACGCCCTTTGTCAGGGAAGCTCCCACACCAACCTCCACCAGCAGCTCCGAGCAGGCACATCAAAACCTTGAAGGATTCCCCCAGAAAAGGGAAGATCCCTCCCACATGCTTCCCAGTCTCACATTCTTCTTATTTCTATTCTAAATATCTCAAAAGCTCTTTTCCCCTTAAAACCAACACAAAATGAGCTCAGCCCTATCTCCAGCCACCTTCCATGGTCATACTAGACCTGACTATATCGTCCATGATGAATTCAGCAAGGACAAGATATCTGGATGGTCACGAGCAAGGCATGTGTGGAGGCCAGACCTCCCAGGAGACTGAGGCAGAGGCCACTGTGGTAATGCAAAGCAAGAGTTGTGGATCCTACTCTGTGCATGTCTTTTCTCTCTGCAGAGTACAAGGTAAAGGACACATAGACCCTGGGGGTCTCCTGATGCTTGGAGCCAGTACCTTGGGGACCAGCAAGAGGATGACAGCACTGTCTCTATTCAGGGAAGGGAACATAGATGAATCACCCCTGGGTCATTTTGATACTAACATTCCCTGTTCCCCCTTGGTCCACCATCCCTGAATCCTGCCCTAGGTCTTCTGACAACTGATTAGACTATCTCCCTGGTCCTCAAAGACTGGTGGATTACCAGACCACCAAATATTAGACACTTAAATTCAGGAGACTGTGCTCACACTAATGCCAAATGCCACTAATCTTGTCCCTGGCAATTTTAGGGGATGCTGTTGGGACTTACATTTTGGGAGAAGATACCTTAAGATTGACAGGCAACTCAAAGAAGGGCAGGCCCAGCCCTTCCTCCAGACTTAATCACTGACCCTTTCTGGCTAGAGGAAGGAGCCCAGACACAAAGTATTGCTGAAAGAGACAGGCCCACCCGCCTCTCCCAAGCTGGAAACACCTCCTACCTTTCTCCTTAGATCTATCCCTATGAACTGCTGCTGGTGACCACAAGAGGGAGAAACCGACTGCCCAAGGATGTGGACCGGACACGCTTGGAGGTAAGTCCAGTAAACTGAACAGGAGCCTTTGAGTTTGAAGGGATCCAAAGTTGGCTGGTCCAATCCAGCTCCGGACAGAGAACAGACAATACATGGCTTTAAGGCCCCATAGATTGGAGCAGTTTCCTCCATCCATGCTGCTGTGTGCAGCCTCCTCTTCAGCCCAAATGACACTTCAGATGCTCGGCAGCAGCATGTCCTCACCTGGTGCTGACATTTTGCAAACACCAGACACAGGAGAAGAGATAGATTTGGGCTCCACCCTCAAGGGGCCCGCAGTCTCAGAGCTGTACATAAAGCTAGTGCTTGTGATGGGGAAAGTCAGGGAGGCGGCACTGCATAAATAAGTCCAGAGTGAAAACCCCCCCGGGTCCACACTGCTCCTGCCATCACGAGGTGGGCAGGCGTAGCCAAGCCACAACCTCATTAAACTTTAGTTTTCTCCTTGCACAGTGAGGGGGGTAGAAATAAATGATCAATAAACAGTACACATAAAGCCCTTGGCACAGAGTCTGATGACCAAATGAATATTCAGTACCTGGTAGAGGTTAGTTTGCTGCTTATCAGAGAGGACTAGTTTGTGAGACACAGGCTGAAACAGGGAGGATTTGGATGGACTTGGAAGGTGGGTAGGATTTGGATGGAGAGAGGGAAGGAAGCACCACGAGGACTAGCATCAGTATAGATAAAGGCACAGTCACCGTGGCCTGGGCATGGTGTCGGGCATTCAAGCAGTGCAGTTTGCTTGATGTGGAGTGCCAGCCGCTGGTCTCCTATGGTCTGGGGCATGCTTCACCCTCTCCCTTGACATGCTTCTCCCTGCCTCTCCCTCTTCTTCCCTCTCCCTAGAGTGACCTTCCCAGGCTGTGAACCTTCTCGCTCCTCAGGGCTCCACACTTGTGATCTCAATACCCCATGCCCTCCTGTAGTCCTCCTGCAGGGTGGGTCACTCATCTGTTCCTCCAGCCTCCCTTAGCCTGTGGCCAGGGGTGGACTCAGTTCTTCTCATTCTCCTTTTATTACATCATCGACTTACCCATTTCCTCTGCCTGACCCTGATCTTCCAAGGGGCAAAGATTGTCTGTCTTCTACCACAGAACCTGGGGTTGGGAGAGATGTCAGGAAATATTTGTGGAATTGAGGCGGGCTTCTAAAAGAGGAGGCTCAAGCTCTTCCAGAAGAGTATATGAACCACCCTTGACCTGATGCTCAAGAATTCATTCAGGGTACAGGCAGAGGAGGGAAATGCAAGTGGGCCCTTCCAGCTCTAGCCGGCTGGGTCAGCAGCCTGAGAATAGGAGAGATTCTCCTCATGGGTCTCCTTCCTCTCCAGAAGTGAGCATCTGCCAGTGCTGAAGGGGACAGCTCCCAGGGCTACTCAGTGAAGCCGAAGGAAGGGACGCAACATCGCAGCTCCCCAGAAGCCTGGGCCCAGAGAAGTTCAGTCTTTCTTGAGCATCAAAATCAATCCATGGTCCCCACCCTAGACCAATGAAACTGCAATCTCAGGAAGGAACTCAGGCATTGGTATTTTTTAAAAGCTTCAAGTAATGTAGATTTGAAATCACTGGGCTAGAAACACTGCCTCAGCCCTTGCCCCAGTTCAGGGAGCAGCCTATAGAAGGAAATCCCTGACTCTGTCCTCAAGGGACTCATAGTACAAATACTCATACATCCAAAAAATATGAAAAATCTAGTATAGACACCAAATATTATTCTAGGTGCTTGCAATATATTGGTGAGCAAAACAGACTGCATTCTTGGAGCTTGCATTCTTACATGAGAAGACAGATACTAAAGAACACAAACAATAAACGCTGTAGTGCATTAGAAAGAAGTCCGTAAAGGCTAAGGAAGAAGGTAAAAGGAGATCAGGGGAGGTCTCATGGACCATGTAACATTTGAACAAGGGCTCAAAGTAGGGGAGGGAATTAGTCAGGCTCTCATGAGACAGAAGAGCATTCTGAGCAGAGGGAACATTCAGTACCAAGGCTAATGCAGGAGCAAGGCTGAGTGTGGCTGGGGTCACATGAGCACAGAAGAGAAGATGAAGCAGAGATGAAATCAAAGGAAATGGGGACCAGATTGCACTATGTGATGGGTATTTGCGGTAGTGAGGGTGAGCCATGATGGAGCACTTCCCATATGGTGGCCCTGTGCTGAGCACATACCTATGTCCTCTCATTTACCCTGGTGGTACCAATGAGGTAGGTGCTATGATGCTCCCGTTTTCCAGAGGAGGAATTGAGGCTCAGGTCCAAGGTCACACACCTATGTCCACCTGGCTTTAAAAGCCATGCTCTAAATGTTTTTGCCTTAAAGTCTGTGGTGAATGTCACATGCACAGGGCTGTTAGGGGCTCTGAGGACTCAAGGGAAGGGGAAGACTCCAGTTGGACCTTAGTGATGGAAAGAGAAGCCTTTGTCTCCTTTCAGTGTGTCCTACTTATGGACACTTTATTTGGGGACAAGGCTACCATTCCTTTATATTGTGTCTCATAAAAAAAAAAATTTGAACACAGTAGAGAATATGAATTAGAGAATCAGTAGCAATCACCACCCTCCAATAGAAAAAGAATAAATGAGGCTGAATTACCATTTCCCTGAGTCTTTACTATGGAAGAAACAGAGAAGAAAACTTCCTCATATACAAACTATTTTTCAGCATTCACTAGAGTAAAACAGGACAGACAAATCAATACCGTGAAAGAAAGAGGAGGGACACTAAAGGGACCTACCCACAAAAAGCCACATATGGACACCACTCACATCCTTATTCAAACAAGCCACTGTCAAGATCAGCTCCAGAAGCCCCTCCAGGGAAACATTCATTTCCACATTCCTCCGCTCAACACAGTTCTTGCACACTTCCCGGATGGAACCTAGTGCCAGGCAGAGGGCACTCAGAGGAAACGCAGAGACCACTGCCGTGCCCACCCACCCCCCGCAGCCCACACCTCCTGTCCTCATGCTGTTTTCTCTCCCTCCTTTCCTCCTCCTTCAGCGCCACCTGTCCCAAGAAGAGTTCTACCAAGTCTTTGGCATGACCATCTCAGAGTTTGAGCGGCTAGCCCTCTGGAAGAGGAACGAACTCAAGAAGCAAGCCCGGCTCTTCTAGGCAGAGGCTCTATACATATAGATGCATTTATATAAAGATTATGTAAAATCTCTATCCTGAAGTGCGGTGTCATCCCCCTGTGTGATGGGACACGCTGCCTCTGTGAGACTTGCTTTTCTGTACTGTCAGGCAAGCCACATCATTAAGGTATTTTTATGCTCCTTACTTCTCTTTTCTATGTGCTGTGGGATCCGGGAAGGGATTTGAAGGGACCCCGTCCTTTTGCTGGGGATCCTTTTTATACTGAAACATCTGTCCCAAAGTGAGTCCCCCAAGGTCCAACTCTGTTCAAAAGGTGCCTGAAGGAGTCTCTCTGCTCTCTGCTTCTTGGCCCTCTCCCGAGTCTCCAGGGCTCATTTTGACCTTGCAGTTCTCACACACCCTTGGCCCCTTAGGGGCCCTTCTATGGGAGGATCCACAGTGATCTCCCCAAATCATCGAGCACCTTCAAGGTCTCGTGAAAAATTTTCTCCACACCTCCAATTTGGAGCTCTTTGCTCTCAGGGTGGTGCAGTTAGAAGTGTGAGCCCCAGATCCACTCGTTACACCTGTGGACAGAAGTGGACAGGGCCCTGGCCTCTCCTCAGCTCACCAACCCTCCTCCTCTGCCCCTAATCCTGATCACTCCCTTGTCCAAATCTAGGATTCAAAGGTAGAAAAAGAAAAAAGGTGCTCCCTTCCCTCCACCACCTCCAACCGGCCTCTTTGCCTGGCCTGGACTTGGAGGAACAGAGGAGAGGAGAGGGAACTGGGAACAGGAAATGGAGCCAGGCACCTGCCAAATCCAAGCTGTGGGACCTCTGACCCTCCTCTCTCCCTCACTGCTCCCAGCACCTCCTGACGCTTCCCCCTTCCTGGGAGAGGCCGATTGTTGCAGCCTGTATTCTTCAGCCTTATTACAATCTATGTGCCTGATGACCTACCTACCACAGGGCTAACGTTCCCCCCACAGCTCCAACCCAACAACCAGAGAGATAGCTCTCACCACCCTCTACAGGGAGAATAGGCCACACCCCAGAGAAAGGCTCTTGGCCTGGGCCACTGGGCAACCATATTAGACCCCCACACCAATCCCAGGTCCCACTGCAAAGTTGGCCAGGTCTCATGGAGGAAACTTCCAGAGCATGACTTCTTACAAGATTCCAAAATGAGGTGTTGGCCAACACTGCTCACGGTCATCCAGATTGTCCCAGGGGCCTGCCTTTCCTGCCTCTGGAACAGGGGTGAAAACTTACCCTTTTCTCATCCTCTTGCCAAACTTTCAACCCTGAATTGGCCATGTTTGGGGGATGGGCACTGTTCCTCCTTGGAGATATGTTGTTTCAGACCATCTTGAGATCATGGAGGAAGGATGAAGAAGTGGAGGTGACAACTGTGACTCTCAAGTGGCTGGTAATGCAATGAGGCAAATGTCAAACTAAAGTCCATCCAACAACCCTCACTGAGTACCTGCTGAATACTGAGCACTGAATGGGGGAGAGGGGTGCTGGGATGAATCAATGCGGGCCCCATCTCAGAGGCACGCCTAATAAGAGTGGGCAACATGAGACGTGCACCCAAACATAAGGAATATAAGGCAGAAAGTGAGAGAAGGCTTGAGAAAGTGTGACATTACTGAAGAGCCAGATGCAGTTGGTGCAGACCAAGGAGAGCTTTCTGGAAGAGACTGCATCTCAGTGAAATCTGGAAGGATCTCTGTAAACTGCGAGTTAAAAGGGTAATAGGGTGGAGAGACCAGAAGGGAAGTCGAATGTACTCTGGTTTAAGATGTCAAATCTCCCTGCAACTTCTCTTCTTGGCCAACATCTTTCAATGTTCCTGACCCGTGAGAAATGTCCCCAGCCAGACACAATCATTGAAACTGCCTCATTATCACTGGTTAACAACTTGCGAGACTGAAGGGCTTTTGTTATTGTTGTTGAATATTTTTGTTTCCCATAAAAGCACATCATTGCAACCCAGACCCGTGTTCTCTGTGGTTTCCAGCGTGAGTGGAAATGACTGACATGGGAAAAGGCTAAACCATGCACATTTTTTTTTCAAAATAAATAAACCTAAAGAGCAGTCACTTGTTTGGCCTTGATTTCTCTTCTGTAAAATGGGAATATTTGATGAGATCAACGGTATCCAGATTGTTTTCTGCAAAATGCAGGGTACTTCAAGTTAGCAGAGGTTGCTCCAACCACAAATAAGCTTCTGCTATCAAAAGTAATTAAGTATTAAGCACCAACAACGTGTCCAGGTCTATGCTGAGGACCTTCTACATCATCTCACTAAAGCCTCTGTAACAACTCAAGAGGTGGCCATAATTAATTAACCATCTCACAGATGAAAAACAGCTTAGAAGAAGACACATGATTACCACCAGTAGAGCCAGAAGTCAATCCCAGCTGGTCTGGCTGGAAAGACCAGCTTCTCATTCTTATCTAGCAAGACCCCTTCCATTGCAAGTAAAATTCACCTTATTAAAAGTGGCTTAAATGATGAGAACAAGGTTAGTAAATTCATCATCTCAGTGATGCTGTCCAGAGCCCATGTTCCTTACACCTCTTTACTTGATTACCCACAGTATTTTGACTTTCGTCCTCTGCCAATGTGTCCCCTCATGTTTACAAGAGGCTGCTGTACCTCCAGGCATCATATCCTCATACAACCACATTAAGAGACAGGAAAGGAATTTCCCCTTGAATGTCTAGTTTAATCAGAAAAACTTTCCCAGAAGCCCTCAGTACACTTCTGTTCAAGTTCTGCTGACCAGAAATAGGGAGTATGTCCAACCATTACTGCAATAAAGGCTGGGAAATGAACATTTCATCCTTGATAGTGACAAGGGGAAAAGGAGGCAGACTGAAAGGAATGACCAACTAAAAATTCTGGGGAGCATGGAGTAGAGCCAGTGAAGAGGAACATCGGGTTAAAAGAGGTGAGTAGGCAGGTGAGGGTCAGAATATGAGGGAGATCTACAGAGACTTCTCTCATTCATTCAGGTTTGGTAGCTGTGGTCTGGCTTGCACTGTGGTTATTAACATGCTGGATGTAGAAAGAACTGCTATAAGCCTTGCCACTCAAAGTGTAGTCTAGCCAGAAACATCAACATCACCCTGTAGCTTGCCAGAAATGCAGAATCTGGGGCCCCATCCTGACCTCCTCCATAAGCAGCTGTCTTTTAATAAGTTCCCCAAGACACACCAATAGTGAAATTTCAGAAGTGCTACCCCAAATTGTCTACCTTTTACAAACAGAAACAACCTTTTTGAATCAGACTTCCTGAAGTTTTCCAAGGGGGACTTTTTCCCCTGCACATAACCCCTTTGGACACTGGAGGGCAATCTTACATGAATAAGGCAGAACCCAACTTTGGAGGTCACCTGCATCACACAAGGTTGTTTAAAGCCAATGCAATGAGCCAGCTGAGTGCTGGAGTTGGTGTGGATGAGGGGCAGCTCTGCTGCCCTGGGAGCCCCTTGCCTTCACCAGGTGCCATGCCCAGAGCTATGGGCACCAGCTGTGGAAGGTGTCAGTGACTGTAGCTGGCTCCTGAGCAGAGCCACACATGGAACAGAAGGGCTGCTATTCAGCATTGATAGCAAAACTCAAGAGGAGAAAAAGCACAGCTAAAATTAATAATTAACACACAGAATCATGCCAACTTCACTAATGCCCCACGTGGGATGAAGCCTTAAGTGTAGAGCTCTTCAGCACTAAAAATCTGACCACGCAGTGATGAATACCTTGCTTACATATGCAGCTCTGAGCCTCTGCCCAGCCATTCAGAAGCCCTGGAGTGGGACTCCAAATAGACAAAACCCACAGATGTGAGATGGGGCCAGCCTCCTGCTACCCGCCAGAAGCACTCCAGCCTCTTTCCCTGGCCTGGTCAATGTGCTGGCACAGGGACACAGAGAAGGGACACCAAAGGCCAGTAGCCACCACCCTTGCTTTGTCTTCAGGGCTAATTGGGACCATGTGTGCAGATAAATCAGGTTAAAAAGTAATGTGACATCTATGCTAATGACCTGAAGTGTGTCCTTGTCAGGAAGCACTGTCCCACTCAAACACCTTTCAAATTATTTAGTTACTCAATGATATCTAAGGAATATTTTTCCTTCAGTGGATCCATCTGTTTCTATTTTAATATCAATGAAACTATCTATTTGTAGGACTGGTTATACATTCAGATACATTTTCTAATTCTCCAAAGACACTGGCCTGTGTAACACTGAAGTCAGCTCACTTCTTCACCCACACCCAGGGAGCCACTGTTCCGGTTGATAGAAGTGAGTGGGGAGAAGGTGACTTTACGCCCTCAGCGTCCTCAGGACACCTGGTCTCTGGGGAGCTGACAGTGCTGCAGAGAGAGGAAAGCACAAGATTCTTTGACAATCAAAGGTGATCCATCACCAAGGTCAAGACTTTCACGTACCATTGCTGGTTCCTGGGGCACCGTGTACACAGGCAGTCCCTGGACCTTGCTTAGGTTTTCATTGAATGCAGTTCCTATATCCCCTGCTGCTCTGGGTTGTAAGGCCTTTGCCTCCTTGTGGATATTATAGCTCCACGGATATGGACACCCTGCCAACACCAGCCTCCCTGGCAAATTTTAGCCTTGACAGTTACAAGCAGAATTGTTCCTGCCCCTGCCTCCATCTTTGCATGTTGAAGTCGCAGCCCTCGGACCCTGAGAATGTGACTGACTGTATTTGGAGACAGAGCTTTTTTATTTTTATTTATTTATTTTTTTTAGTTGTAGGTGGACACAATACCTTTATTTAATTTGTTTTTATGTGGTGCTGAGGATTGAACCCAGTGCCTCACATGTGCTAGGCAAGTGCTCTACCACTGAGCCACAAACCCCAGCCCCGAGACAGGGATTTTAAAGAGGTGATAAAATTAAAATGAGGCATACAGTGGGCTCTGATCTGATCTACCTGCGGTCAGAGACACAGAGATCAGGACACACTGGGGCCAAGGCATACAAGCATGGAGCGTGATGACCAGCTAGGAGTCAAGGAGAGAGCTTCCCAGGAAACCAGTGCTGCCAGCACATTGGTCTTAGACTTCCAGCTTCCACAACTGACAGAAAATTAACTTCTGTTGTTGGAGCCATGCAGTGTGTGGTGCTCCGTTCTAGCCACTCTAGCGAACTAACATACTGGCTTTTGCAAAACAGAAATTATGGCACTTACTCATGAGTGATGCACTCCTGCAGAGGCCAAGACTCTCACATACCATTGCTTCCACGGGGGAGGTATGCATTTGGGTGCTCAGCATCACCCCAATAGTCCCATCAGGAGGTGTGCCCAGGCTGTGAGTGCCCCCTCTAGGCCATTGCTGAGAGAGAGGCAGGCCTCTCTCACCTGAGTCTCCAGCTATCAGCCCGACTCAGTCAAGAGCTTCCTGGCCTTCCTTGCTACAGACTGGGAGACTAAACAGAGGAAGGAAGTGTTATCGCATGGAAAGCAGTGACAACTCTGTTTGCATTCCTGGATCGAGGTTCCCTTAGATCTGCACCACCCTCGAGCTCCCAGGGAACCCATTAAGCAATAAATTGCTCTTTCGGTTTGAGTTGTAACTCACTTGGAGTTGGGACAAATACACTGGCTTTCCAGGTGAATTAACTGTGACAGTGGAGTCTCACATGTGTTCCTTTGCTGTCTGTGTGACAGAGCAACCACAATCTAATAGTGCAGGCATCAGCCCTCTGCCCCTGGGAGCGTGGAGTGGAATGCGGGAAGCCAAGCAAACACATGGAAAGGGGTGAAAGCTTTCCCCAGTCATTGAGAAGTGCTGGTAGGGCCAGGACCAACAGTCTTCTCATTTTCCAAAGCGCCTAATGCCATACAAAAGCATTATGCCCGCCTCCCTGACACACAAGGTCTTACTCACCTGGACTGGGACAAACCATCCACCTTACCCAAGCAATTTGTCCTTCTGATGAAATAACTGCACTAATTTTTTTAAATATGCATACAAGACATCACTCCCTAGAAGATTTGGGGGTACGGGAACTGCAGGTATGGTAGCCCACCCATCCAGGAGCACCGATTGTTCCTGAAGGGAAGGAGGAAGCTGGCAGAACTCCCAGCATGTCTAATGGTTTGATTTATAGAAAACTCCCTGCAGGGGGCAGCCTGAGTACATAGCCAAGACTTCCTTACTGTTTTCATAAGCATCTGACAAAGCTCTTCAGAGGAAACCCACTGATAAAATAACAACTGACCCTTCCTGCAACAGGTCAGGAACTGTACTAACCATGTCACATGTCTCATTTGACCTCTGGGTGCCACTTTCATCCTTTTTACAGATGAGAAAATTTTTTACAGATAAGGAAATTGAGCCCTTGGTGAATAAGTCATCCAAGGTTTCTCTGCTGTTTGTGACAGAGTCTGAACTTGAACTCAGGGCCATGTTACCCAAACCCATGCCCTTGGCCACTACACAATGACCACTCCTAGGCAGAGGGCCAAATGGCATTTGGAAAAGGCTTCCCTGGGCCAGGCATAGCACCCCATCTCTTTGCATTCGGTCATATTTAAGCCTCGCTACCACCAGGTCAGGGAGGTTGTGGGTAGCCCCAACTTTTAGATGAGAAATTTGAGGTTCAGGGAGGTTGAAGGTCATGCTCTTGACCATGCATAGGCAGGGCTGAATAGCAAACTCAAGTTGTCCCAAAGTCTTACACTTCATCAAGCCGAGCAGAGTGGTAGTCGTGAGGGTGGAGATAACAGGGCTTGTGTGACATCATGCCTGGGACCCTGGGCACCCCTGCTCCTGGTGCTGCCTCTGAGGCGATGTGTGAGTTCAGGCCACATTTCTTCCCCTCTTGACTTCAGCTTCCCCATCTGAATGGGACCAGAAGAAGGGATAAGACTGGCTGGTATCTCAGGGGGTTTCTAGCTCCAGGTTATGAAATTCACTTTGGACCCCAAAACCTGGAGTCCACCTGCTCCCTGGGGGTAAAGTTATTGGCCCTTCAGAAGAGTGAGTCCCCACTGCAGTGTGAGGGGTAGGGTATCTATCTGGATCCCTCGGAGTAAAGGAATCCAGCTGGAGAGAAGCTCCAAAGGT